GTAGTATGTACCAGTAAATCCAAGTCAATTCAAAAATGCAGATGTCTCTGGGAGACTGCAGGGCTCTCAGCCCTGGGTACCCCAAGTTGAGAACAGCTGCATGAGGAAGTGGAGACTTGTCTGGGGACTGGGGGGAGGCAGGCCATCTGGCACTTGAGAAGCCATTGGAGGGAATGTCTAAGGCAGATCTGAGTAGGGTGCCACACAGATAAGTCAGGAAGATGTGAGGATATTTTGAGGCAAAGAACACCTCTGCCCACATTCCATCCTTCACTTGGTAAGCTCCTCCTCTTCCTTCAGTCCAGTTCTCTTCTCATCCATCCTCTCTGGGCCCCCATCATACTCCGTGGGTATATTTATCACTGCACTTAGCAGGTTGTGTTATCATGAGGTTGTGTTATCATGATCTTTTCACATCTGTCTAGTGCCAATGGACACTTCATCTTGGGATCCCTGGTGCCTAGTGCCTTACTGAAACGTAAAAGATGCTAATGAGTGATTGTTGAATGAGAAATACATAGAAGAATATGTAAATTAGGAGTTCAAGAAGGACAAATTTGCTTATTAGACAAATATTTAAGAGGTGCTAGTGTTCTTAGCATTGTAGTTTGATAGCTTAGATGGGCTCAGTATTAAAATAACTTAGAATGTTATTTAGTGTTATTTTAAGTTTTTTAGCCCTGGACAGTGTTGCTCAGTGGTTAGAGCATAGGTCTGAGACCCCCCGAAGGGTGGTGGGTTCGATTCCCAGTCAAGGGCACAAACCTGGGCATGTGCAGAAGGCAACTAATCGATATATCTCTCTCATATCTCTCTCTCTCTCTCTCTCTCTCTCTCTCTCTCTTTCTCTCTCTCTCTTTATCTCTCTCTCCTTCTCCCCCTCCCTCCCTCACTTCCATTCTCTGAAAATCAATTGGAAAAATTTCCTTGGGTGAGGATTAACAAAAACACACACATCGCCCTAACTGGTTTGGCTCAGCGGATAGAGCGTCGGTCTGCGGACTAAAGGGTCCCGGGTTCGATTCCAGTCAAGGGCATGTACCTTGGTTGCGGCACATCCCCAGTAGGGGGTGTGCAGGAGGCAGCTGATTGATGTTTCTCTCTCATTGATATTTCTAACTCTCTATCCCTCTCCCTTCCTCTCTGTAAAAAATCAATAAAATATATTTTTTTAAAAAAAACACATAAATAACGTTTTTAGGTTGATCCAAAACCTAGTCATCATTTGTAATATTTTTTCTGTGAGAGAAATGAAATTTATTCTGTGTTTCAAATAGCCAACTTCCAGATGAGCCTTTAGATCATGATGTATTCCTGATTTAAGGACTGCCTGTACTTTCCAAAATGCCCCATGCTGAGGCACTTCCACCAGTGATTGGACTGAGTTGTCCAGGGAAAGTTCCTTTCCAAAAGTTTAGACCAGAAAAGGGAATGCTCACATTTTACCTTTTAACAGGAAAGTTCCGTGAGCTCAGTCTGGATCTCCACCATTTCAGTCCTTTACAGAAGGCAGCATTTTATTTTCTCCCCTAACAATGCCGTCAGTCGATGGGGCAGATATGTCAGCCAATGTTTAAAACAAGGCTGACACTCACTGCCTGAGTGCTGCCTAGTCAACATCCCCGTCTGCTCCCCAGGAGCCTCACAGGACCCCAGCTGACCCTGCCCTGAAGTCAGAAAAGCAAAAAGAAAGAGGCTGGATGGGAGGGCAAAACTACCTCATTTTATTCAGAATGGAGTTTCCTTTTCTCGGTCACCAATTAGTACATAAAATTATATGAATGAACTAGAACTTGCTAAATTGGGAAGGCCCTAAAGAAGGAGCCACACTCCAGCTGCAGGGAGAGAAGCTCTGGTGGCCACATCCCGCATCAGCTGCCTGCACCAGCACCGATTCTCAGAGGGAATTAATGGTGCAGGGAGAAGGGCCGCCTTAATGGAACCAGGAACAAACAGGACTGCTGCCATCACAGGGTACTGTTTGGGGGGAAATTTTCCATTTAAAAGATTTAAATAAATAGGTCGAACAATAACTGAAAACAAAAGATCTGGCTGAAGAGATGGGGGAACAAGGGATAGAGCTTATAGAAAGGTAATAGATCATTTCATTCTTTCCCTTCGGTGCTTGTTGGTTAAGAGGAGGCATGGGGCACTTGGGGGCTGATCAAGAATGCGGTAGCTTGCCCGGCTGCTAAAGTTAGCAAGCGGGGGGCCCTGCGAGTTCTGAGCTGCCCACCCTCAAAGGCCTTTAGGAGCACAAGGTGACGTGTTCTGAGTGTCTGCAGAAGTTAATGCCCTTCCTTGAAGTAAGAACAAGGGAATGAATAAACGAGAAGCTTCTTTGCTTTATAAACAGATAACCCCCAAGGGAGAGCCACTTTGAGAATGATTTTTCTAAGACAGCTGTGCCTCCAATGCATAGAAAATCACCCCCTCCAGTATTTGAAGAAATAATTTACTTATTCAAGGAAAGGACAGTCACGTTTTCTTGAATGCCACCATTGATTTAAGGAGGCGATATGCTTTGCACCCAATCTGAAGAACCGCCTCTGCTTGGTAAATGAAAAAGGAGTTTCTTGGGAAGTAAGGATTTTTGACCACCGTGTTTTAGACATACCAGATGCTCCTGATACGTTTCTCTTATTCCTGCACGGAAATCTCAGAAGCCATCCTTCTCTCCTAAATCTTCAGTGATACAAGGAGGTAGCCGCCTGTGTTTCACACCCTGTTCTGAGTTACACCAGAGGTTTATAGCTTGGGGAAAATACGATTACTTTAACACAGATGTAAATTCCGCGTGGGTCGTTCGGCAGGCTCGGTGTTGAGAGACTTCTTCATGCAGAAGAATGTTTTTCTTTCTTATCAGCAACATACTTACTATACTTACTACCCAATTTTTTCCAGAACAATACAGCTTATCTTACTACCGCAAAATGTACTTGGTCATTTATGAAATGAAAATATAGTTTAAAAAAGTGAAAGAAGTCAATTGAAAAGGCCACATACTGTATGATTCCAATTATATGACATTTTGGAAAAGGCAAAACTATGGAGACGGTAAAAAGATGAGCAGTTGCCAGGGGCTTGGGGGATGGAGGGATGAATGGGGGGAGCACAGAGGATTTTTACAGCAGTGAGACTATTATTCTGTATGGTGCAGTAATGGGTACATGCCATTATACATTTACCAAAGCCCATAGGATACACAACATCAAGAGTGAACTCTAATGTATGGCTCATCAATTATAACAAATGTACCATATTAATAGGGAAAACTGGGGTGGGAGGAAAGGGGGTGCATAGGTACTCTCTTTACTTTTCACTCAGTTTTTTTATAAAACTAAAACTGTGCAAAAAAGTGTTATTATTATTATTATTATTATTATTAATTTGGCACATAGCACTATTGAGTAATTTACTGAATACATACATACAATTTCCCTGATGGGGAGTCAAAAGTCCCAGTTAATGGGACTAAAAAAGTCTATTTATTTCTTAAAACTTCAGCCTCATGGCATCATCTCCATGGACATGGAGAAGGCGGTGAGTGATGTTATTCTACTCTGGTAGCCAACATACAGCCTCCAGCAATTTCATTTGAAAAAAAGTTATCAGTATATTGAATCTTCTTATCTTTCTGGTGGTGGTGATTACTAGTCTCTTTCTTTAAAAACAAGCCAAAAAGAAAAAGAATACCAAATCAGCTTACCTCTTCTCAAGAAGTTCCTATTCTCTCAATTGGAGATTCCGTTACACCCCTTCCTTACTCTACTTTCTGGCGCTGCTGCCCTAGCTTAGGTCTGCCTGTCCTAATAGCGAAGTCACTGGCCCTGCACTCACTCACAGGCTGGTTTTTCCCTGTGGTGTGGGAAGGGGGATGGTTGGATAACCTCAATCAGAATCCACACATCGAAGAAAATATCTCGAGGAAAAGCACAAGTAGTGATGAGGACTTGTTATAACTGGCCAGAGGAAAACCCGCTCTTACAAATTTACACGTCAATCGAAGAAAGCTGTGTACTAAATGCTGCATTTTGCAGCATATAAAATGCATTTCCCTCTGGTGGGGAAAAAACGTACCTAACAATTACCCTGCATTCAATGTGCCCTTAACACGTGTGTACCCAGTGACAGACACCAAGCTGAGCTGGCATAAAGCCGGGGAACTTCATATTATCTCATGATGTCAGTGGTGTCGGCGCTCTCATGAACAAAATTAAGCCTCCTCCCAGAAGACTACAGTAAAACCACACTCAACACACGTAAAGAAGCACAGGTTTTCTTTTCCAAAGACGGCCTTAAGGAATGGGATGTGTCTGAGTGACATACCACCTGCGCCTCTTAAATGCCAGCCGAGTGAGCAAGATCTCCAGGCCCACCGCCCGATTCTCCTCTGTAATTCTTCTCGGGCTTGATTTCCCTGGAACTGTGTCACTAGCTCACGGATGGACCGCCCCCTCCGTGTTCAGCTTCCGCCGGCCACAGCTTCCGCCGGCCACAGCTTCCGCCGGCCACCAAAAACAATTGGGATGAGAGCATGAGAGTCCCCCTCCAGGGTACCGGAAAGATGGGGCATGCAATCCAGTCATTCCTGGTTTTCTCTGAAAATAGGCTTCAGTTATTTAAAACCTCACACTTTAATTAAGCCAGGAAAAAAAAACAGGGAGTAAAAAAAATCTAAGAAATACACTGTCATATATTTTCATTTAAATCTGGAAGAGAGTAGAAACTTTTCTTACTCCCTGAAATTTTTTCTTCGTAAATTGGAACTGATGGGCAGAGTAAGAATCAGTGGCGAGAACGTCAACAGAGGGCTGAAGGAACAGTACCAACAGCTGGGGTTCTCCATCTCCAGATGTGCTGACAAGCATTTAGTTATTTTCTCTAATGATACCCCAAACATGGAGGTCATTGGAAAGTACCTTATGGAACATTTGTGTCTAAAGTCGGAATCTTGGAAGTCACTTTCTCAACCTTGTCCGTGTCTCCTTCCTTCGCAGGGCAACGGGCTTTGGCTTCTTGAACGCACTCTGCAAAGCTGCCGCCGTCCTCGGGAACTTGATATTCGGCTCCCTGGTTAGCATCACCAAAGCAATCCCCATCCTGCTGGCCTCCACTGTGCTCGTGTGTGGAGGACTGGTGGGGTTTCGCCTGCCCGACACACAAACCCAGGTCCTGATGTAACGGGAAACAAGCCATCCGCCCGGTGTTTCTTTCTCCTGCCCTGTGTCAACTCTCCTGACCGACTCAACACTTCAGATTTTTCAGATATAAGAGGTGGTCAGATGTCAGAACACTAACTCCTGCTGTGACTGAAACTTAGATGCATACCATCTTGCCCCTTAAATGTGATTTTGCAGAGGGTCTGGGTTTCGTTTTGTTTTCCATGCATTGTCATCTTTCCTAACTGTGATGCTACTGCCTCCCCAAAATCTAGTGGAAGCATTTTCTTAAATGTCCTGGTCAGCCGGGCCTCCCTGAGGTTCTGCTCGCTGGGGGCCTGGGAGCTAAGAAGAGGACTGTGCAGCTATAAGACATAGATCCTGCTCCTAGTTCAACGTTCACAGGAAGTATAAGTTGGCGTATTATTGCATTTGTGCTGAGGAGAGGGATTCTCTCTCTCTCTCTTTTTTTTTTTTCAAACAGAGTGACATTTCCTGTTTACTTAGAAAAGGACACCCAGCAATTCTAGCTATAACAGCAGAGCCTTTCAAAGAAAACCATGTGGTACCAAACAGGGCTGGGTGGAGCTCTTTCAGGAGGGACAATTAAGGTGGCTCTACTGACAAGAAAAATTAAGGCTCTGCAGTTAGCAGCAACGGTCTGAGTGAGCTGCAAAAGCAAGGTTTCTGCCAGAAAGCCCAATTAATTGCTGAAAATGTGAGGAAATAGTGTCTGTGATTGTGGCATGTGGTTCAGAATGTTAGAAAATGAGAGAGAGATCTTTGGCCTCCATTCATCCCTCCTCCCCCTGCCCCAGCCCCAGATACCATTGATCTTGCCAGAAAACAGATTCAGGAAAAGAAAGCCTCTTTCTAAAAATTGGGTCTGCCTACCTGATTCTGCTGTTCATCCAAACTGTCTCTAGTCTGGAGATTGTCGGGCATCTGCATTGTTGTAAATTTTAAATCAGGGAGACATTCACACGTAAAGCCATTTGGAAATGCAAAGTGATACCTTGAGGGACAGTAGCCCCAGTGACACTGGACTTCATAGCTGGCATCCCTGAAGCAGGTCCCGTCTTCTGTCTTCCTCTGGGCTGGGACACCGGTCAGGGTGTTCTCTGTGGGATCACAGCCTGCCATGCCCAAGGGGCCCTCTGGCAGGCACGGCAGCCTCTCCGGGTGGTGTTTGGCTGCTCATTTTATCTGTGCAATCTGCCTGGGCCTGGAAGAGAGAGGTCAGCAGGACATTCCTAGGGGCTGTCAGCTACATGACCTTCTCACCCCTCAGGCCTGCCCCTCCTCCAAGCTCATGCTTGTTACTCATCATCTTTGAAATCTGAAGCCTTTTTGTAGACGTGCAGCAGTGACCAGAAGCCAGGAATAAATCCCATATTAAAACAATATTCCTTTTTTTAACTCTCTCTTTCTTGTGAGAGGGTTACCTCTTACTTATTATATAGGCGTTTTCAGCAGGCCCAGCCCTGGGGCCTCGCTAAGGAGAGCCTTTGTTTCCAATAGTCATTACATTCAAAGCTGTCTTAACCCCAGAGGCCCCTCTGCCTCCCTCTCCCTCCCTAATGATCCTGGTAGAGCTCCAGACTGCGGAGTTCAGACTCCCTGAAAAGCTTCTTTCATTAACATAAGCCATTAATCGACTCCCCCTTGAAGTAATTCTGGTCTGGGGGGGCGGGGCAGCCTGGGGTTGGGGCTGGCAGGAAGAGGGTGGTTCCCTGGGGACCAGGCTTAGGGCCAGAACATCAGGAAAACTCAAACCAAAAACTGCTAAGGTGGCAGGCAGAAGGAAAATCAATAAAGACTAGATGAGATCTATTAGACCGATAGCAACAAAGCCGGGGAAGAAACAGGACGTACCCTCCCTTCTGCCTGCTGTAATATTGCGGGAGAACAAAGACAGCAGTCACAAACCAAGAAGGGACCCTGTGTGTTATTCTTCCATATGGACTTGTTTCTCCACCTCTCTACCCCTTGATTTCTCTTCTTAGAAAAGACATATTTGGAGACCTGAGCAGGAGTTTTTTGTTTTTTTAGTTGAATGTAGCCTGTGCAGTAATAACAGCAAACTTAAGACGTGTATCTCCATTGACTCATTCAAAAGAAAAGCAGAAATGTGCATGGATGTCGTACTCTTGTCTTCTGTGACCCCCTAACTTTGCTTGCTGGACCGCCTTTCCTTTTAGAAAGGTCTCCCATGTCCACTGTAGCTCTGAATGCGTAAACCATCTCCCGAGCTGCGGAGCTCGGTTTCCAGGGAATTTCATTGGAACGCTGGGTTGGGTCAGAATAAGGTAAACCAGCAGAACCCCACCGGCCATGAGACCGGCCATCAAACATCCCCTTCCAAAGGGCCTTTCTTGGCCTTCTTGTCACCTAATCCAAGCCTCCCAGGTGGCCCAAGAGGGACCTATTCTAATCTCCTGGACAGTCAGTGGTCACAAACCTTCTTGGTCACCACCTTTTCCACCTTTTGTGCAGTTTTCTCTGCCTCCTATTGTTCCCACCACCTGGATTTTCTATGAGAGCTCAGGTTCTTCCCAAAGTATGCGGCGTGGCCTGTCTGGCCTGTTCTGGGGTTAGCTAGATTAAGGTAGAGCCAGGCGATTAAAGAGAAACTCTCCGCTCTATCAGTGTAGAGACTGCCGGCACATGGACGCACAACCAGCATCTCATTTCAGCTACAATAGAAGGAAAATGAGAGTGTGTGCAAAAGCAAAGGCCCGGGAAACAGCCCCACTTGCTCCTCTTTTTCTAACTCCTTTTCTATCTACAATGTCCTCAGAGCTGTTTGGAATCAATCCAGAATGTGCCTGAATCCTATTGTTATTGCTGGGTCCTTGCAGTAGGAAAGAAAACCCAGCTGCTCCAAACTGTAAATCCTGTACCACGTTACAGCCCAGCTCCCATGCAGGCCTGTGCCTTGGAAGCCAAACCCAGCAGCCAAGGGCTTCTCGGGCCCAGAGTGCCGGCCCTGGGAGAGAAGATAGACGGGTCCTAGCCCAAGCTCCACCACTAACCAACAGTGAGACCCAGATCTTGCTGGGGAGAATGTCAGTCATCCAACAGCCCTAGTTTCCCTGTCTGTAAAGGATTGGGACTAGTTGGCAATTGGGACCATTTCAGGATTCTAGAGAATCTTCATGAAAAGGGGGATTACCTACCTTTTGATGCTAAACTCATCTTTATACACACCAAGTAGGTTCAGTTTTGAAACTAAAACATTGGGAAATAGGCATGTATACAAGAGTTCGAGAAGTTGTTTGGGGAGCCCCCATGGATGGGCCAGAGAACATAGGTCTCATGTTGTTTGTGCTTCCAGCCTCGTAGGATCTGGAGCATTATCTGATTTAATGCTGGTGCAACACTTACCTTTGCCCAGGAAAGGACCCACCCTGTCAGGCAGATGACTCTCCAATCACACTGCTATCACAGAGGCTGTTTCCTGTAGTTACCTCTTCCCACTTCTCACTTTATTCTTGAAACTTGGTCTTAAGTAGATCTAGGCCTTCAGAAACAGAGTTATTGATTTCACCTAAGCTGGCAAATGTACCTTCATTTACAGATCTCACCAAATCAGAATTCAGGTTTATGCCAAAAACTACTGCACTGCTCTTCTGGATATCTTGAGATATCAAGAGAGAGATGGGAAAAGAATCGTAGTGACAGAAGGGAGAGTCCAAGGTATCATAGAGAAGGTTCCAGTGAAGGATTAGGGCACGCCTGAGACTTTCTGAACCCTGGGATCCTTTCCAAAGCATCTCATGGGAATACCCTCTGATTCCCTCGCCAAAATAGAATATGATAGTCTCTAGGTTTTTTCTATTCAATATCAAAATGGCCTTTACTTAGTTCTTCACTAAAACACCTCACTTATTTGTGCACTAGAGGCTCTGAAAGCAGGGACGTCTGAATTTGGCCTTTACCTGGTATTCCGAAAGACAGCTGGTTGGTTGTTTAGGTGCTTATCGGCTATATAATTGGCTTCCCTTTGACCTCTATATCATGTTGAACTTAGTCTAGCTACCAAACCTACAGAAACACCAGTCACTTTGCGACAGCAAAAAGCAATCTACACAATGGGACACTCTAAAACGAACTGTTATTTCTTACAGTGTTTGTTTCTGCCAAGCAAAGTATGTTTTAAGTAAAGCTTCTCTCGCAATCTGTGTAATGCAGACAAAAGAAAAGTGTCAGGATCTCCTAGGTATTTCGTGTGTCCCTTCACTGTGTCAGGTGTGGAGTGACAGCTCTCCATGTAATGCCCTTTTGCTCTAAGTATTGACAGTGTCTCACCTTCGGTCTTTCTCAGACAATATCTAGATGTAGTTTAGTAATCCCAGGATTTTGAGTTACAAGGATACAGTTCACGGGTCTGCTTAGGCCCGTGTGTTAGGCTAGCAGGGCTGGGGCAGGGGGGAGGGCTGGGCAGAGCATTCGCTGGTCTCGTGTCATCTCATGTGATTATTCGATAAATATTTATGGAGCACCTTCGTGTGCGTGGTTGAGGCACTGTGCTTCACCTCAGGAAGCTGTTTGGGGAGCCTCATACTGACCCCACTCCATGTTGGAACCCCCTCCTATAAACACAAGGTGTTGTTTTTTCCCAAATTTAAAAGAAGTCATTGGTGGGTAGTGCAGGGGGTCCTTGGAAATTGGAAATACCTCCAAGAGGAGGAGGAAGCCCTCAGTGTCTGGACTTTGTTGAAGGGACTACTAACTAGTACTGGAAAAATGGAGCCACGCGTGTGCTGTTTCTTTAAATGTCTCGGCAGGAAACCGCCCTAAGGTATTATCCCAGGAAAGGAACAGCAGCGAAGATAGCCCCATCTGCATAATGATGTTCATTTTTAAAGTCCCAGTGTCTTCCAGGACATTCTTTTCATGGCCTGAAACTCGAGGGGGGCGGGCAGTCTGTTCCCAGAGGGCAGTGCTGGCGTTTTCTCCCCAGCGGAGTCAGCAAAGCCCTCGGCTGCTGCGAGTCCCCTGCCCTCAGCTTCCGGATGTTTCCTTTCTGATTCTGAGGACTTGTGACTGAGTCAAGTGTCTTTGCAGATATCCTAGAGCAGCTTTTCCCCTCCACCCTCCACAGATAAGCCACCCAGAAAACAAGTTCTGACAGTCCGTGGCAGGAGATTTTCAGATTTCAGTTTCAAACCAGTGCATGGTTGTGGCAAAGGGTCTTGGAGCTGCTAAGGACCTTTGGGGCTCTGCGGGAAGGCGGAGCAGAGAGGGAGTTGGTCATGACCCTCCCCCTCCCCTCTGAGAGCTCTGATTCCTGTTTAACCCACTAGCACTGCTGTCCTCTCCACCTGCCCTAGGCAGTGCACACTCAGCTTCCTTCCTTTCCCCTCGGTTCTTCCTTCTTGTTCCTCCTCGTGTCACTCTGACTCTGGCAGTATACAAGGCAAGGCCCAGCTTGACTGGGGCTAAAGAATGTGCTGATCGGTCTGCGTGTGGTGGAGGCCAGAGAATAGAACACATGAAGAACGTGAGTGGGAGCAGGGATGTGGGCTCTAGACTCTTGGCCTTGACTCAGCTCCCTGTACTGGGCCAGATTTCCCTCTGCTTCTCCATTCCTGTGGGCGATAGATAGATGGCACCACTGGTGTGAAACCTCAGAGAGGCCCATCCCTCGGAACTCATTGGCCTGTGGCAGGTAGACCCGCCTCTCCATGCCCCCAGAGGGTCTTACTTGGTGCAGAAGGCTGGGTGCGTTTCATTCCAATGTAAATGCTGATGTTGCAGAGGTTGCCTCTTCTCTGCCTGCCCTACCACATTCATGCTCCCCTTAGACTCAAGAGGGCCCAGAACTAGAAGGAGAAGAAAGCAGCCTCAGCCCTCTGTTCAGACTAAGACAGCGTTTAACACCAGGCAAGCGGCCCACCCTAGAAGCAGGGATGCAGGGTCCTAAGCAGCTCTCAGGTGCCTGGAGAGTGACTGGCCAAGCCTGCTCAGACCCAGGCCACACCAAAGTGAGCATCGTGGGTTTGCGGGTCAGCATGGCCCATAAGACGGAGGGAAGGAAAGGCCTAGCAAGCTCAACCTCCTGTCAGCACACAAAGGGTTTCTTTCTGCATTTGTATTGACTCAGAAGAGGACCCACAGTGCAGAGAATCCACCGCTGTCTATGGGAATTGTGCCTTCAGGGAGAACACACAGAAAATTGGCTATTTTATTATGTGCAAACAAACATAAATTTGTTTGAAGTTACAGAGTATCTCTCCTCTCACACCCAAGTAGGCGTCCAAGAAGGAAACTCGGTCCTTGCCTTTGACATTCGCCAGGCCTGTCTCGATAGAACAGGACAGATTCATGGCTTAATCTCATTTCCACCACTGTTGTTATACATTCATTGAACTGCATCTATGTCCTAAATCAAGTGGAAGAAAAAAAGAAATGTTCTTTCTTGCTATGTGCTTTCACAGCATCCAAAACGCGGCCGTGTGTCCTCGCCCTGACCCAAAACAGACTGAACAGATTATGTGTCCTTCATGGATGTCTAGATCCTGTAAATAAATTCCTGGGAGAGCCTTGCCTTTCAGGTGAACCCCCATTTCCACAGGCTGAACCCACAACCCTCTCTCCTTGCACTGAGATCTTGGCAATGGTCCTGTCCTTGGTTTTGGTGTTTGGGCGTCTTGTTTTGTGTCTTTTCTGTTTTTACTGCTCTGTAAGACCTCCTGCTATGAATGTCCCAGTTGCCCCAACTGTACTCTCTCTATATATGTGCTGCATGTGTGAACCCCAATAAATTCCGTTTCGGGTTTCTGGAGTCTTCCTCTTAAGTGCAGCTGGTCTTGTTGTGAACTCATCGTTCTGGTATGCTCCTCTGTGTCTGGTTCCTGATTGCCAAAACGTTTGACCAAGTGTGTTTTGACGAACGTCCCGAGACAGCCATGTGTATCCTTGTGAAAGGGCATGCTCTGTGGGGCTGACTCGTGTACAGCATAAACCCATCCAGTGTGGAAGTGTGTATACATTTATATGCCAGATACTTAACATTCATGTAGCAGCTGCACAGATATGTCATGTACATCCAATTAATAAAAGAGCAATTTTTTTTTGCTCCATTATATTCAAATAAAGATTGCCGTGTGACTGGCTTCCCTTCCAAGCATGAATTGACCCTTAAAAAAAAAGTCCTTTTTTAAATGGACAGCGTGAGAACCTGTTTCCCTTGCTTTCGGCTGGCTTGAATTGCTCCTGTGGGCCGGTGTCATGGGTATTGATGTATTGTTGACTTTACAGGAACACTTTCTGATTGTTAGCCAGGACCACTGGGAAGAAAATGTTTGCGGGGGAGTTTGTGGCAAAGCAGATGCTTGTGTTCTTTAGCCCGAGAGCAGGAATAGCAAACAGATTTGTAACTGGCATGTGGTCTCCAATTGATTGGTAGTGGCTGCTTGGAACATGCGTGTGAGAAGAATGATGAGAAAAAGTGCTGTTTTGTAACATTGGCATCGGAGGCAGAAACATGGACTGTCTGCCACGGATTTGCTGAGTACTTTTGACTTCATTTCAAAGAAGACCCAGCTTCAAACCTCTTTACTAATAAAGGGAATTGTTATGCACATAACAAAGAAGATAGGACAATTTCAAGGTTGGCTATGATGTGGCGTGGCAACATTATCTAAGACCCAGGTTCTTTCTGTCTTTTAGATCAGCCATCCCTAGCTCACTGCCTTTTGTCTCCTCATGGGCTTGAGGTGGTTTCAGCAATTCTAAGCATCATTTCATCACACAAATACCTGAAGGGCCAGAAGAGGTACCATCCCCTCTTTATGACCCTTTTTTACGATTAAGGGAATCATTCTTAAATCCTCCAGCAGGCTGCCCCTCTGTCTCGTTGGCTGGATTTGCATCATTTGCCTACTCCTAAACCAGGCACTAGCAAGGGGAATATAATTCCCACCACTGGCTTGAACTAATCAAGAGTCCCCTCCCCCCAGAGAACTTGAAAGGACCTCACCCTTCCCTGAAGCACAAGGCTTCTGACTATGAGAACGAAATTGGGGTTTAGCGAGCAAGGAGGAAGGGAGGTAGCTAGTGAGTAGGCTAGCAACCGTGGGCTCCAGAACTGAGCCATTTCATGCTGCGGCCACATGTCGCTATTTATATTTAAACTTAAAATAACTAAAATTAAATTCAGTTCCTCGGTCACACTTAGCCACATTTCAGGTGCTCAATTACCATGAGATTTGTGGCTGCCATAGAACATTTTATCATCAACGAAAATTCTCCTGGAGAACTCTATCCTGGCCCGGCCGGCGTGGCTCAGTGGTTGAGCTTCGGCCTATGAACCAGGAGGTCACAACTCAATTCCCAGGCAGGGCACATGCCCAGGTTGCAGGCTCGCTCCCCAGTGTGGGGCATGCTGGAGGCAGCTGGTCATTGATTCTCTCTCATCATTGATGTTTCTTTCTCTCCCTCTCCCTTCCTCTCTGAATTAAAAAAAGAAAACACTATGCTGGACACTGTGCATTCACACCCCTCTGCAGGCTGTCCCTTCTGCTGGGGTGCTCCCACTTCCTCTAGCTTCTCTCTTCCCCCACAACGCCCCCCCCCCCCCCCCCGGCAGGGCAGAGCTCGTATTTTTGCTACAGCAGCTCTGTTTCCTGCTCTTCCTCCAGCAGAAATGCCCATCACCCCACCAGTCTTCCCCCTTTCCCAGGCCCCAGCCCACCAGGTCCAGGACCTATTTAGTATTCAGGAAAAGTTACCATCTGCCTCCCTTTTCTGTCTCTCCTGTTGCACGATGAGGTCTTACATGAAGGGGGAAAAAAGTCTCCACAGGCAAACACCCCGGGAGTGTCGGGGATGGCGACAGGCATGGAACTCACCAGATGCTGGGTGTGCCTGGCAAGGATCACTGTGAGGGCGGAAGGACTCATCCACAGGCCTGGCCTGGACCCTCGGCTGCAAAATCCCAAACGTGAAATTCCTAACAGTCGGTGTGTTAAAACAAGGCAACAGAGGTCCTGAAGGAACAGCTTTTTCTCCTGATTGATGTCCCGTGCAATGCAGTCACTAACATCTATGTTAGTTGGCTAGGGCTGCTCTAAAAAAGCACCACAGATGGCTACAGGCCACCACAGCAGAAATGGAGTTTCCTACAATTCTGGAGGCTAGAGGTCCAAGACCAATGTGTAGGCGGGGTTGTTGTCTTCTGTCTCTCTCCTTGGCTTTAGATGGCCGTCTTCGCTCTGTGTGGTCACATGACTTTTCTTGGTACAAGTCTGTGTGCTAATCTCCTCTTCTTATGAGGGCACTAGTCATGTTGGATTAGGACCCGCTCTAATAACCTCTAGTAACTTAATTGTCTTTTTAAAGACCCTGTCACCGAATGCAGTTACATTCTGAGGTACTGGGGTTAGGAGTTCAGCACATGAAATGGAGGGGGGTGCAAGATGCTACATGTGTAATTGTGTAGAGTGTGTTGTGTACATATACTTTGCACAGAATGTGGTTGAATATGCTTGTGATCACATGGAAGAATAGCCCAGGCTGTGTGTGTTGTCAGCATAAGAACACCCAAACCTGTAGAAAATTTTTATAAAGGTTTATTAGAGCCAAACAGATACCAGGTCCAGAAGTAAAATTTCCACAAACTGAGAAAAGTGCTTCTGAGAATTGTCATTTGCAGTTTTTTTATACATTTGGAATGAAGGAGGGAAGATTACATGAAGGTAGGAGAAAGCAAGGCAGAGAAATCTCTGATTGAATGACAGGGGAGTTAACAAGATGTTATGCTCTCTGGAGGACAAGGGATCTGAAAAAGAAAGGCATTTCAAAGGTGTATTAACACAGATGCACAAAAACAATGGACAGGGCTTGCATACAGCAAAGATAACATCTCACTAGGGAAGTTATAGGCCTGAGGCGTGACTGCTTACCATGTCCTGCCCGGGAATTTATGGTCAGATCACCCTACTGGCAGTTAGAGTCATTTCAGAGCCCCCTTTTCATCTACAGTGTGTGTTCATTCTTGTGTGAGGAATAACTCTAGGGCCCTGCACTCATGAGCCAGAAACAGATAACTGGGGACAGCCCAGGGCAGCCAAGCCAGGCTGTGAGGTCCTGCAGGGCTGTTCTCAGACCGGTGATTCTGCCTCCTTCCGCCTCTCCACGTATTAAATTCCAAACGAGACCTCGCTCTCTCTACAACAATTTTATTTTATCCTGGAGTTGATGAGTGCACTGTGGCCTACCCTGCACCACAGCCTCTGAGCAAAGCAGCCCTTCTGTGGCCTGTCCCTGGCACAGCTTCCTCTGGGCCGGGACCAGCTGTGCCCTGCTTGGATGCCAGCATAGGCAGGAGGAGGGCATTCCTGGAGCTTGGGTAGACAGCGTCAGCCCGTCACTACCACCCTCTCTTTGTTGAGTGGGGAGACCAGATGCATCGTCATCTCCTGCAGTTTGCTGTCCAGACACCAGGGGGAGAAGTGAAAGCCACAAAGGAGACAAATTCCTGCAGCCACGGCAGGTTCCAGCCCCTCAGCCGCCTGGGCTCCCTGGGGCCAGAATGAATGAGGCAGTGTGGTCTGGGATCAGGGAGCACACAGTCAGCGCCAACCCTGACTCAGTGCACCAGCGGCCACCTGCCTCCAGTCCTGTTTCTGGGTCCAGTGCCCCAAAGCCCACAGGAGGCAGAACAGACCCGAAATGCACCAAATGCCCTTTGGACTGAGATGTCCAAGGGAATCTCAGCAAATTCTGTTTTGGATGGGCCTGTAAGGAAAGCTACTGCACATTGCAAAAGGATAAACGACTTCTGAGTTGCCCCCACCTCTCTCTTGGGCTTTGAAAACACTGCACATATCCAACCACAGGCCCACCCTTCGCTGCGATGTCGCACCCTCTTCAGCCTCCTGCCTCCACGAGAGGACTGGGCAGCCTCCCCGCAGAGCCCACCTGCAGCACTTCCGGGAGGGCAGGAGCTCGGGCTCTCCAGGTCTCTGTCCACACTGAGAACAGTGGACCTTCCAGTGCAGGGGGCAGAATATATCCGCTGCCGCGAGTATGACTTTGGGCAGAGCCAGTTCCAGGTTTGGGATGGGAGGGACCCTCTTTAAGAAAAATGATACAAAAGTATTTATTTGGAATGAGAAAAGAAGCTACCACAATTTATGAACTTTTATCATAGGCCATAACAAAATCCAGAAAAAGACAATACTAGTTTTTATTGAAGAACTGCCTGACACACCTGTATAATTTTTTCCCTAAAGCATCCTCTTTGATTGCCTTTTTCTGTGACAACGGTTTTGTGATGTCAGTGTCATAGAATAGGAATATAAAATTAGTTTCGATTACTAAGCTGCTGTTTTTTTTGACAGTTTCTTGTTTCTTCACTCCCCACATACTTCCGGTGCTGAAGTCACAGACCACATTCATACTTGCAGTCCAATCTCTGGCTCTACATTTGAGACACAGGCCAGGCGAGTGGGCAAAGCGGGCAGCACGAGTGTTCAGTGGGGCAGCCAGCATAACTTCACCATCACAGGAGTGATTGCGAACCACAGAAATATAAACCCACACTGAATATGTCCCCAACTCCAATTCTTCTTAGCCAGAACCCCAAGTGCCCAGCTCCACCCAACACCAGGCTAACTTTGAGGAAAGGAAGACGGAGTGAAAAGAACCAACAGTTTTAACTGACTACGGAAACAATCTATTCACTTGCAGGTTTTTTGGTGTTTTTTTTTGGGGGGGGTGCACATTTTTAAAGAACATATGATCAGTGCCTTGGAAGGGACCCATGAAAATGGGC